GACCCTCGCCTTGCCCACGGACACGCGGCAGCCCGGTGACGGGCAGAGCAGCGGAGGGGTTGCTCTGTGTTTGGTGTGTTTGGCAGCAACACAGCGTGGTGGGGCTGTTGAGGGGGGTCAAAAAGCCAGGAGACCGTTTGTCACTGCCTGTGTTTTGGCTTATATTTAATGAGCCAAATAATATAAATAAATGGACTGTATTGTCAAAGGTGATGCTTCTGCATTTTGAACTGGCATGAACAAACAGCTTTGAGGAAGAATAGCAGGGTGTGGATGTTTCTGAGAATCTTCTTCAGTCTTTGCTCTTCTTTCCTGGCAATATCAGCAAGCTCTCAAGCACCTCTGCTCTCTAATCTAATCAGTCCTAGCGAAACAGGATTTGCCGCAGTGTCTGACCATTTGGGTACACACCAGCAGAGTAAATACCAGATACATTTTGTGAGAATGGCCAAAATCTATCCCAGCACCTGTAATGCAGAGACAGGGTCTCTGGGACCTGGACCTCTGCCTGCTTTGTGCTGCTTCACCGAATTCCACTGCTGCCGGCTTTGAGCAAGGCTCTGTCAAGTAGGTTTGTCAGCACAGAGCAGGATATTTATGCAGGGAGCTCCAGTATAGAGAACTAATTGCTGTTCTCTCTAAAGCCCTGTGATGAGGACTGATATGGCAGCTCACCATACTGCTCCATACTGGTGCTTGTGTTTATTTGTAAGGGTAAAGAGGAGATGCTTTTCGAAGAGTGTAAACAGCTGCTTGTGGCCATAGTCGAATGACAGACGTGCTTGCAACCACTGTGGTTAAAAATGTCAGGTTTGAAAACGTGGCTTTGCTCCTCTGTGAGTTGGAGCTCTGCAGCCTTCCCGTCCCTCGCAGCCTGCAGGTGAGGTGCTGTGGTCCAGATGCTCGCTGCTCCAGCCGTGTTCCCCATTCCCATGGCTGGAGCTCGGGAGGAGGTGGCACGCATCTCTCATCCTCTGCCTGTGCCGTGGCAGCTGTGTCTGAGCTGGCTGGGGGGGGGGTGCTCTGGGGGGCTGGGGGGAAAGGGGGTCTCCTGGGTGTATGGAGCGGGTCAGGTTGCTTGGCATGGGGGGGCTGCGTGGTGGAGTCCAGCAGAGCTGCTGAGCATGGGGCAGAGGGGCGGCTGTGCCAAGGGATGGGGATGGGGGCAGAGGCTGCTTGGTGAGGACTCGCTACTCCAGCTCTGCCTCCCAGGTGGCTGGAAGAGCCCTAAATTACTGCTGAATTACCACTCAGTTTCTTGTGGGCCTGGTCCAAATGCCCCTTTCCTGACTACATCACACGTGTTTTCCAAGCACCAACCAGGCTGGGTGGTAAGGCAGGGGAGATTTGATTAGTCCTGTTCATGCTCTGTTATTAGAACTCAAGTGATGGGAGGTAATGGTCCCTCGGGGCCCGTCTGCCTGCGCAGTGTGAACCTGGCAAAGCTCTGGCTCTGGGTCCGGCCTCCCGTCCTGGAAGACAGGAGAGGGGTTTCTCCTGGATGCTTGGCTCCACAGGGCTGGGTGGGCTGGTC